CCCCACCTATGTTGTTGCCCCCTCTGGCCTTACCTTCTCTATTCCGGGTACCCCCTGCGACAGCATTGGTGAGTTGCCACGTCAGCAGGCCACATCAGCGGACTACACGTCAGCAGGCCACGTCAGCCGACAGAGTAGGAATACCACGTCAGCAGGCACCCGGCCTGGTATATGCTGTTGCGGTCACATACAGCCGTTATGGACCAGAGGTCCGGAGTGGCTACATGCATTGCACAGCAGGAGGATATCCACAGCCTTGACGACTCGCTAGTCCAAGGCCGCCTTCAGCAGCTGGAGCAGCGACCAGTCGCCGCCGCCGATGCAAGCTCTTCCAATACCTCCGATCGCCTCGACGCATTGGAGATGGACGTCGGCTCCCTCAAGGATGGCGTGCAGTCACGGTTCCGCAAGTTCGAGCTCACGCTGCAGCTACACAACGTCAAAGAACACAAGCACCACACATACTTGTACTCTCGCTCAGGGGGCGCGTGCCAGGCTTGGTTGGACAACCTCTTGTCCAAGTACGGAGTGGTAGCTGCCGACTTGCACACCAAGATCAGTTGGGATGATCTGAAGGCGGCATGGCACGAGCGGTTCCAAGTCGAGCCGCCCGAGATCAAGGCTATGAACAAGCTCATGGTCTTCGAGCAAGGCACGCTGCCGAGTACCGACTGGATCGCCGAGTACCGACGCTTGACGTCAGTCCCAAACATCCACCATTACTTCATCTCAAGGTCCTGTCCGGCGTTAAGTAATGCCCTCACTCACGTCGAGGACACCTTGACGACGACGGCGAAACTTTTTGACAAGGCCACGCAGATCATCATTACGAACAAGGAGGCTAAGAACCTCCTTTCGTCTGCGTAAGGCCCGAGCAGGGACCAGCATCGGCCAAGAGTGGCCGTGGTCGCAGCGGCAACGCCGTTTGACCAAGCCAGCGAGGTTGTGTCTGCCAGTGGATGGGACAGACTCGCAGCCGCCCGGGAAGGTGGCCGCCCCGCAGAGGTCGAGGACGCGGCAAGATGAAGACACACACCGCATCTAGCCCCGGGCCCGGCGCAGCAGCTCCAGCCCCTTGGTCCCAATATGGCATCTCCGAGCAAGCATTCAAAGCGCGCGAGAGATTCCACTATTGCCTTTGGTGCAACAACGATCTTCATTAGACACTAGTCTGCCCATTGAAAGGCAAGGGCAAACAGGGAAACTGAGCACCACCGAGAGTGACTCGACAACACTCTCGACACCTCCAGAACCGGTTTCTTCGCGAGTAACCGGCCTTCATTCCGAGGCGCACGCGGAAGTCGATAGTCCTCCTCTTCTACTTTCTTTTGAGGACTATGCTGCCCGGCTCGTTCCTACGCTGGGTACTCAAGCTCAAGGACAAGAAGTGTGTGCGGTTTCTTCTCCGTCCGGCAATGACGACATATCGTCTTCAAGTGGTTCTTCACGGGATTCGGCGCGCGAGTTCAACATAGAGGTATTGGACCCGCTCACATCCGAGGACTTTGCATGGCTTCCTCTCCCGACCACAGACCGCTTGCCGGGACCGCAATGCGCAGCACTATGCGCTCATCTCCACACTTACTTATCCTTCTATGCACCACCAACTTCGCCGACAGATGACGAAGTCGCGGTGGGGGACATCCTTGCGTATACTACCAAGGTGGCCCGTGAGTTTCGCACGCAGCGGTGCGATGATAACAACGCATTACTCATGTATGTCCGCATTCAAATTGGGCAAGCGTCCTGCAGCGCTTTGCTGGATAGCGGCACGTCTCGCAATTTCATGAGCCAATCCTTTATGCAAAGGGCTGGCCTTGGCGCACAAGTACGGAGGAAGGCAAACCCAATGGCGATCAAGTTGGTGGATGGGAAAACGCAGCAACTTCTCGACCGTTACATCGAGGCCGTACCGGTCTACTTCGCACCTCATGCATGGGAACCGGTGACATTCGGTATTCTCGACACGGACTTCGACATCATTCTGGGAATGCCTTGGCTTGCAAGTGCGGATCACACGGTCAACTTCCACCGGCGGACTCTTAGCATTCGTGACGGTTTCGGCGCGGAAGCGGCGTGTACTATTCCTCTACCGCACCCTTCGATTCGGTGTCAAGTGGTGACGGCCAAATCATTCTGGGCGCCTTGCGCTTACGAGCAGCCCGAGGAAATTGGCCTATGTTTCCTACGGACCGTCGCAGTATCCGACGCTTCACCCACGGACTTGTCTTCGGACCCCAGGGTGGTGCGGTTGTTGGACGAGTTCGCCGACATCTTCGAGTCACCTACCGATGTGGTGCCAGATCGGCCGATCTCTCACGAGATCATTCTTGAGGCCAGTGCCATGCCGCCGAAAGGTTGCATCTATCGCATGAGCGAGGAGGAGCTTGAGGTCCTCCGCACACAACTCGACGATTTGTTGGCCAAGGGCTGGATCCGCCCTAGCAGCTCCCCATATGGAGCACCGGTTCTCTTCGTCCGGAAGAAGAACAAGGATCTACAATTGTGTATCGACTACCGCATGCTCAACGCGCAAACCGTCAATAATGCGGGGCCTCTTCCTCACATCGACGATCTTCTTGAGCGACTGGGCGGCGCAAAGTATTTTTCTAAGTTGGATTTGAAATCGGGATATCATCAAATCTCAATCCGGCCGAACGATCGCTACAAGTCCGCGTTCAAGACGCGGTACGGGAATTTTGAGTGGGTGGTCATGCCTTTTGGCCTCACCAACGCACCGACAACCTTTCAAGCGGCAATGACCAATGAGTTTCGTGCAATATTGGACCGGTTTGTGCTGGTCCACTTAGACGATATTCTCGTCTATAGTCGGACTTTGGAGGATCATCTTGAGCATCTCCGACGGGAGTTGGAGACGCTCCGCCGCGCCAAGTACAAGGCCAACCGCGGCAAGTGCGAATTTGTCCGGCAAGAGCTGGAATACTTGGGCCATTTTGTCACACCGGAGGACATCAGTCCGCTATCGGACAAGATTCAAGCCATCCAAGAGTGGTCGGAGCCTCGGAACGTCACGGATGTCCGCTCGTTCCTTGGTCTCGCCGGCTACTATCAGCGTTTCATCAAAGGCTACTCGAAGATCGCGGCCCACTTGACGAAGCTTCAATGCGAGAATTGGCCGTTTGACTTCGGAGAGGAGGCGCGGGAATCATTTTTGGCTCTCAAAGTCGCGCTATTGTCTGCAGAGGTCTTGTGGATATACGACCCGCTTTTGCCTACACGCGTCACCACACATGCGTCAGGCTATGGCATTGGTGTAGTCCTCGAGCAACATGATGGTGTGGACTGGCACCCGATCAAGTATTTCAGCAAGAAAGTGCCCGTCGTGCATTCCATTGACGATGCACGCAAGAAGGAGCTCCTCGCCTTCGTCCACGCGCTCGAGCGGTGGCGGCACTTCGTCCTTGGTCGAAGCCAATTTCGATGGGTAACGGACAACAATCCGTTGGTCTTTTACAAGACCCAAGACACCGTCAACAGCACCATCGCTCGATGGATGGCTTTCATAGACCAGTTCGACTTCTTTCCCGACCACATTCCCGGGAAGTCGAACCGTTTTGCGGATTCTCTTTCACGGCGTTCGGATCATTGTACCGCGGTCTACTCAACCTTCGAGATCGACGATGACCTGCAGAACAGCTTCATCCACGGCTACCAAGCCGACCCCGAGTTTCGTGACAAGTACGCGAATTGTTGCTCTCCTAATCCGGCGCCTTCTCACTATCGGATCCAAGAGGGGTACTTGCTTGTTCACACGCGGGGAAAGGATCTTCTTTGCGTACCGAGTGATCCTCACTTGCGTACACGGATTCTTGGCGAGTTCCACGATGCCCCCGCCACCATACTCATTGGAGTCAATCGCACGATTGGCCGACTTCGCCAGCGATTTTGGTGGCCCGGCCTTCTCGGGGACGTCACACGCTACTGCGAGTCATGCGAGGTTTGCTGACGCTGCAAATCCCGCAACCATTGTCCGTACGGCGAGTTACGACCATTTCCAGTCCCGTTGAGGCGAAGGGAAGCAATTGCCATGGACATTACCGGACCGTTCCCCAAGCACAAGACCGGAGTGGATGGGATTCTCACGGTGGTCGACCAACTCACCAAGTTCGCCATGTTTTTGCCTTGTCGCTATCATGCCAAGGCACCGGAGTTGGCCAAGGTTCTTTACGCCGGTTGGATTCGAACCAAGGGTTACCGCAAGGAGATCGTCTGCGACCGCGATTCATGTCCGATTTTTGGTTGGCGCTCATCAAGCGATGCGGCTTATCTCTCAAGCCCAGTTCAGCTCGCCACCCTCAGACCGATGGCCAAACGAAGAGGGCGCACCAGACCGCACAGGTTCTCCTTCACACTCTCATTCGTCTGAATCAAAAGGACTGGGTTGAGCGGCTGCCGGATGTCGAGTTGGCCTACAACTCCTCTATCAACCCGGCTATCGGGATGTCGCCCTTTGAGTTCGAGCACGGCTCGTCGGTCACTTCACCGTTGGACACTACTACTCCACGAACGGCCGAGAGCGACGACCATCTTCTTTTCTTGCGTCAGATGCAAGAGCTTCTTGTCAAGGCACGCGACCAGATGGCCAAGACGCAACAGCGCATGAGCCAGCAGGCCAATCGCCAGCGTCTTCCTCGCCCATTCCGCGCCGGCAACCTCATGTCGGTTTCCGCAGCGGAATTCAGCCTTGAACAAGACATCTCTCGCAAGCTCCTCCCGAAATGGATGGGGCCTTGGCCTATCGTAGCACCAGCTGGGGACGCACCCGAGGGACCTTCCTTCACGATTCATGTGCCCGACCACTTGCCCGTCTACCCAGTCTTTCATTGCTCCAAGTTGGCTCTATACACCCCAGCGGAACATGACGATTTTCCCGGGAGACGTTCGCAAGACCCACCCTCTATGGACGACTTTCAGGAGGTCGGCGACATCATCTCCCAGCGACGCTACGGCAACAGGCCAACCGAGTATTTGGTGCATTTTGCATACTACACACACCGAGCTGACCGTTGGTTGACCCGTGCAGAACTTCAAGCAACAGCGCCAGATGTTCTCGCACGCTATGAACACAAGATGCAAGGCAAGCCGGTCTCTTCGGCTCCACGCCGTGCCCGCGTCCAGGTTCCACCTTCAGATCGTCGGCTCCGCTCTTGCCCCGGCTTGACTTCATAAGGACGGGGGGGTGTTACATGCTGCGCCTGCACACGAGGGCCATTTTCCAGGCCCTGCGTCCCTCAGGCTGAAAGCCTGAAATTCAGACTTAAAGCCTGAAAACCAGGGCCCACAGGCCCCGTGACTGTTCAGGCCGAAAGCCTGAAAACAAAGGCCTACAGTCCCTGTGTCGTTTCAGACTAAAAATGGCAACAGCCTTTTTAGCCTGAAACGAAGGGCCATTTTCGGTCATTCATCAGAACGACCGGCCCTGAAACTCAGGCACCGAACCAGCCTGTTCCCCACGGCAGTCTCACCGGCTGCGGCAACCAGCCCCTGGCACACTTCGGCATTGGCAACAGCAACCTCCTCGGCCCGGCTCGCCCTTCAGGCAGTCAGGAGGCAGGCCGAGGTAGTACATAGGGACTTCCCATGCACTTCACGGGCAGGCAGGAGGCCGTTGTAGTCTTCAGGATTCGACAGCAGCACTCTGGAGGGAGCGCTGCAGGGAGTAGTAGTAGCGTTAGCTTTTAGTCTTCAGCGCTGGACGCAGTAGGGAGTTGTAGTCTCCAGAGCTGGGCGCCATAGCTAGGATAAAACTAGAGAGAGAGAGATTGGGCGGAGGCCTTGGGTACCTACCTGCAGCGCCGTTGCTCCAGCTTCGTCTTCGAGGTACCTGCAGCACAGCGCCAACACCGCATGTTAGTATCTGGCTCGTAACAGAGACAGAGAGTTCTTCTTCTTCCTCTTCTCAGTCCACCATCTCCTTCTCCCCGTCTCATCATCTGACTTCACTGCATCTGCAGACTACGAGAGAAGAGAGAAAGAGCTTGGTGACATCGGATCCAGGCTCGACTGTTGGACTTTAGACATTGCAACGAGGGATTATTTGGGACTTGTGACAAAGACTTGGTGTTGACGATATTCCCATCTCTCTCCCTCCTTTCGTCTGATTCCCTCCTCTTCGTCTGTGTATGTCTGGACCTGGCGCTTTCCTGTGTACAGCGCTAGGCTCCTTCACACCTGGTGATGGATACGATGCATGTTTGGTCCGCGTTCAAACATTGATTGGGCTAGTCATCAGCATTCTAGCATTCTGTTTCGCTATCTTTCACTACGTGAATGAGGTCGGTCCGGTTCAGGTCAGGACTTGTGTCTAAATCTTCCACTGCGCTATTCAGCACCCTTTTTGTATGTATGAGAATGCACATTGCTTGTCAAGATTCTACTTGCACTGCATTGTCCTTTCAGTCCTTTTTATCACATTGCGGATCCTCGGTTTCTATGTACATCGCCCAACTGGGCATATAACAGCAGCGAGGCTGGGAGAGAGAGGGAGAGTGAGAGCACACACACACGCTCACTCAACTCGATGCAGACTTGACACGACTCCACGGATGCAAGTGGCAAAGTCGCAAAATCGCAATCTTGAATTCTCGAACACAATATCGAAGCGAAGTCACACCGAACACAAGCACTGAGGCTCAAAACTGGTTGCCCGTACTGGGCTTGAGCCGTATTGCAACGCCCTGATGGCACATTTGCACGAATACTTGCACGTTGCAGGACCACCTCCACCGACGGACAGCGATGTGGCGGTTTTTGACCTTCGCATCTACCTCGCGAAGATCGGTCGCGAGCACGCAAAGCAACGGTACGTCGACATCGACGCGTCGCTCCTCTACATCAGGTCTTGAAGTGGGTAGTAGCAGGGGGCTGATGAGAGAACCGGTCTTCAGCAGGCTGCAACAGGTAGTGGTTGAAAGTCCAACTGCAAGGAAGCGGAGTGCAAGAATCCAAGATCCAAGTACAAAGATGCGTCCGGTACATGATCTGATGTGGAGGTCTGATCCGGTGTGGCATACTGAGTACCACATGAGCCCCTGCAGGGCCCGACCAGGTAGGATAAGGGGTTCGGTAGGGGCCTTTCGGGCCCTGTGTCGGTTCAGAGTAGGAAGGGCCCCTTTTTAGGCCCCACGTTGTTTGGCCTAGGGAATCCGGTAGGTCGATAGGCCCATTACGTAGGCCCTGGCGCCCGTTTTGGCGCCGGTCTCCGGTAGAGGGCCAGTAGGCGCCCAGGCCGTTTTCAAATTCGGCCTTTTAGAATTTGGGCGCCAACTTTAGGCGCCAGACCTTTTGGGCGCCAGGCCCTGGCGCCGTTCAGCATTGGTGAAGGCAGCCTCCCAGCCGGACCAGCACTATATATAGCTGGTCCGCTTAGGAGGCTGGCATTCAATCTTCAGGCATTCAGCAGCGGCAATCTCCGGAGATGTGGCAGGTGACTATAGGAGTAGTCTTCCAGCGTTGGGCGCTGCTAGGATCGTAGGACAGCGCTACGAGGGAGGAGACTGGCGGAGGCCAGGGGACTTACCTGGGAGCTTATCTCTGACACCATCGCTCCAGCTTCGTCTTCGGTGTACCTGCAGCAAGGCGCCACCTTTCACAGGTTAGTACCTCGCACAAAGAGAGAGAGAGAGAGAGAGAGAGAGAGAGAGAGAGAGAGAGAGAGAGAGAGAGAGAGAGTACTTCTTCTTCTTCTTCCTGCAGTCCATCTCTCCCTCACCCTCCAGCTACCCGACTTCAATATTGACAGATTACGAGAGAGAAAAGGAGAGATATATTTGTGACTTCGAGATTTGACGACATTTGGATTCAGACTCGACCCTGGGACAGACACATTGGGTGGGGGACTATTTAGGATCGATATCGAACACATGGTGTTGACGACATCCTCATCCTCCCCTCCTCTTCGTTTGATCCCCCTCCTCCTCATTTGTGTATGATCTGAGCCTGGCGCATTCTTCCTGAGTGTAGCGCCAGACCCCTTCAGACCTTGCGATGACGACGATGTATGTTTGGTCTGCATGGCGACATTGATTGGTCTGATCATTCGTATTTCAGTCTTCCGCTGTGCTATCCTGTACTATGTGAGAGAGGTGGGTTCTTGGTTCTCGTCTACACCGTATCGGTATGCGACAGTTTGGTATCGGAGCAGACCTCTCAATCGAAGGATCCGCCCAATCAAAAAGCCAGCTTGATTGATTGATTGATTGATTAATTGATTGACAAATTGGTTAATCAAGTAGGAATTCGTCAACTTCCTCCAAAAAAAAATTCTTTTGGGAAGTTACAAATCCCGAATTCCGCAAATTTCGTGATTTCACGAAATCCGAAAATCCGCAAATTTTGCAATTCCACGAAATCCGGATTCCGAAATTTTCAAAATCCCAAAATCTTTGGAAATTTCGGGTTCGGATCAGGGTATTTAGGTTAGTTAGGTAAGAGAGTTCGTCACTTCCTTGGAACCTTGATTTATTCTTTTCTGAAATTCGAACCTCCATTCTACTTCACACAAATTCTAGTTTTTTTTCAAAATTGCATTTTTTTGGAAATTCGAGATTTTGTGAGCCTCGCCCAGATCTCACTCATACTCCAAAAATGCCTCACTGATATCAGATCGACAAAAAAAAAAAAAAAAAAAAAAAAAAGGAATCCTTTCTCTTTTTTCTCCGTTGATTAGGACCGGGAATGGAAAGTGCAGTTTGCTTGCCTACCTTTGTTTCCCTCCCACCCAGCCCCTAGTCATCTTCCCGGTTTGGTAAGTGCCACGTCAGCAGTGCCACGCCACCAGTGTCACATCAGCAGCAGTGCCACATCATCAGTGTCACATCAGCAGCAGTGCCAAGTCACCAGTGCCACATCATCAGTGTCACATCAGCAGCAGTGCCACATCAGAAGTGCCACGTCAGCAGTGCCCCGGCACCATGCCGGCTTCAGTTTTGGGCATGCTAGACCAACTCGCCGGCGAGTCCATTGTCGATTTCCACAAGCGGGTCCAAGATCAGCTCGCGCAGATCGAGGCCGAGGAACAGCGCCAAGCGGAAGCCGCGGCTGCCCGCCTACAGGCTGAAGCAACGGCAGCAGCTGACGCAGACACCCAGGCCCGCCACAAGCAGGCCCGAGACCTGCTGCAGCGGCAGGAAGCCGCCAGCGTCGACAAGCTCAAGTTTTGGCACTTTGAACCATCTGAGGGCCATGATGACGCAATAGCGGAAGAGCAACACAAGGAGTTTCTCTCCAAACTTGTGACTCGGTTGGTTTACACTTGTAACCAACTGCAGTCCGAGTTAGAGAAACAGCACCAGGAACTCGAGAATCTCTGACTGGCAGTGGGTAATCACAAGGATCTTAACAAGGATGCCACACGGGCACTCCATACCCGTGTATAGGACTTGGAGCAAGCAGCACCAAGACCCGAGGCTGGCGAACTCAGCCCGTTAGTTGGAGCAACGACTCGACCACGTACTCGCAACGCGCGGCGACATCAACATGTTCGCCGCACCAGCCACCATCGGCAAGCAGCTCAGCACCTTGAAGACCGAGATTAGGCAGCTACAACAACCGCTAGCCACCAATGGCAGCACTCGTGCATCGCGGCAATACAAAATGCCGACGTTCCGGATCGAGAAGTCTGATGATTATGCACAGCAGGATCCAGTCATCTGACGGCAATCCTTTACGACGGAGACTCATATTCATTGGGTCCCCAACTACTTGTACATCTCGGCGCTGTACCTCAACGCCATGGGTGGATGCCAGATCTGGCTCAACCACATGGTAACCATCCATGACGTCCAGGTCGCCGACCTTCACACCGAGATCTCATGGGAAGACCTGACGAAGGAATGGAAGAAGCGGTTCATCGTTGACGACGCCCCGATGCTCGCCATCAACCGCCTCTTCGCCATGACGCAGGGCAACACACTGACGCCCAACTGGCTCACAGAATGGCAAAAGATCGTGGCAACACCCGATCTTGACTTGCCAGTTTCGCATTTGCGCCGCGAGTTCTACAACCGGTCGTGTGCCGCCTTCAACCTGGCTCTCGGTGATCGCAAAGAGTACACGACCTTCACCGAAATCATCGACAAGGCCCGTGAGATCATCAAGACCAACGGGGCGGCCGCACACGAGAAATCCGTTTCACAGCCAACCCATGTGGAGAAAGGAAAATTTGGTCCTCGTCCGCAGCCAGTAGTTGAAGTCCAACCGGACAACCTTATGGACGACCCGACAGTCATCCCAGCATCACGTTTGTGGAGAAAGGTTTCATTTCTGATTGCGCATCTTTGAGTTGCACAATCTTGTTTTTGAAATCAATGTCTGGGTTGGCTTCTTCGTGCCAATCCATACCTAGAATGATATCAAAAGGTAAATTCTTTTCTATGAGGAAGGATAGTTCATGCACAATCTTCTTTCCTTCCTTCGTTCGGAACTAACACTTAATACGATCAACAAACTGAGAGACAGTGATCGTACTCGTCTGCTAACATAAACGTTATAGGTCGAGACAAGTCTTTTACCTTCATGTCGAGATGCAGCTTACGGATTGCCTTCTCGGAGATGTAGGATCTCGTTGATCCTGGGTCTAGCATCGCGCCAACTCGTGTTCGTGCGATCTCAACATCTGCAAACAACAACTCGCCCTTAGTCTTCGCCTTTCGAGCCCATGAGCTACGTAATGCTAGCAATTGGTTACATAACTCATCAAAGAAGTCATCCAGAGAGACAAAACATAAGACAATATCAGGGCGATCTGGATGATGGGCCAAGGAAGAATCATCCTCTGCCAATTGAGAAGAAGGGTAGGAAGGGGTCGTAGGCGCCTTACCTGTTTGTTCGTTCTTACCCTTAATCTCAGTAGGAGCAGATGCTACTCCTACTGGCTGTTCGCTTTTGGGTTCCGGATCTGAGGGCAGTAGGCGATCACATGTCCCGCTGTGTCGCACTTGAGACATTGCGCATTGTCCATGCGCTCCTGCCAAGTCTTTCTAGTCATACCCATTTCGACCCATGGCTTCCCATCTGCAATGCCAGGGTGCCATGGAAACGCTCTTTGTTTCTTCCCTCCTGTCCTGGGTGGTCCTCCCTTATTGGCCACAACAGCAGTGACTTCCCCCTTCCCGGAGTCACTGTTGTTATCATTCTCCTCGTTCGGCCACTTTTCCACTGTGTCGTCATCAAACACGACAAGGGTGTGGTCCTGGCGCTTCTGTCGGCAGAGAACTCGTTTCCCATTGTACTGTCTTCCTCCTCCTACTCCAGACTTGACTACCGCTGCATAGGAATTCTTGACTTGAAAAGTCATTTGTTCCCTTTGCAGGGCAAGGTCACGAAATTGCCTGTAGTTGTACTTACCGGATTTCGCTTCAGTGACTAAGTGTCCCCGGATGGGCTCAGGCAACGCGCGGGAATAGTTGTACAACACTTGGCTGTCCTGCAAATTCAATCCTGGCGTCAATGTCTTTGCCCACTCACCGATATCTTCGAAACCCGCCACATTGGCCTCGACCAACACCCATTCCTTGGCCTCACCACCCATGCAAGAAGTGGTGAACGTGACTTGGGACTCCGGCTCGACCGGTGCGGTACTCACATACGTCTGGATTTCTGCAATCCACAACAACAGACTTTCTTCTTTCTTGTTGCAAAACGTAAATGGCAACTTCATCTTCACCTTTTCTTTCTTCTTCGGTTTTTCGGGTTCAGCGCTTGTCTTTTCTGGAGTTTCTTTAGGAGTAGACTTAGAAGAATGAGAAGAGTGAGGAGTAGATGGTTGACTTGATCCATTTCCATTGGATCCATTTCCATTTGTCTTTATCACGGGACCAGCAGACTTTATTGCGTCCCCCATCAACTTCTTTACTACTTTCTTCTCCTTCTTCTCTTCTTGTTCTTCTTCTCCCTGAATCTGATTCTTACCTTTCACAATATTAGCAATTGTTCTCAATCCAACAATGATTTCATCCAACTGATTTTGCTGTCTATCAATCTTCTCCTCAAGAAAGGTAAGATATGTCACAATATGAGCCAACGTTTGTGACATGTCAGTCTGTTCACCGACTTCTGTTCCTATGACTTGTCTGATCTCTTTAAC